TTATATTTGTGGTGTAACATGTGTTTGTAACATTCTCGTTTCGCTCAAGATGACAGAACACTTGGAGCAGCAATACTGCATTAAGTTTTGTCAGAAACTTGGGGATACCCAAGCAGAAACAATTCGCAAAATTCAGCAGGCTTTTGGTGATGATGCAATGGGGGTCACTCAAATTAAAGAGTGGTTCAACTGCTTTAAACATGGCCGTATGTCGGCAGACAGTGAGCAGAGTTCCAGGAGACTGTCAATGAGCAGAAATGCTGATGTCATTGAAAAAGTGCGGACAGTGATCATGGAGGACTGTCGTTTGAGCATCTGTGAAGTTGCTGATGAGGTTGGGGTCAGCAGAGGTTCTGCAAACACAATTTTAACTGAGGATTTTGGCATGCAAAGAGTGGCAGCAAAATTTGTGCCCAAGCTGCTTTCGCCGGAGCAGCAACAACTCCGCCTTCAGGTCGCGCAGGACATGCTGGAGTGCGCCAACAGGGATCCCGAGTTCCTGAAGACTGTGATCACTGGTGACAAGACATGGGTGTATGGATATGACCCAGAAACCAAGGTCCAGGTGTCACAATGGAAGCATCCAACATCCCCGAGACCCAAAAGAGCATGACAGGTTCAGAGAAATGTGAAGGTGATACTGACTGTTTTTTTCGATTACTGGGGTGTTGCGCATCATGAGTACGCACCACTAGGCCAGACTGTCAATAAGGAGTACTACCAACAAGTCCTCTGCCATCTTCGTGATGCAGTTTGGCGCAAGAGACTGGAGCTGTGGGACGCACGCAACTGGCAGTTGCATCATGACAATGCCCCAGCTCATTCATCACACCTGATCCAGGGTTTCCTGGCCAAGCACGGCATTCCGCAGGTTCGCCAGGCTCCCTACTCTCCTGACATGGCTCCTTGTTATTTCTGGCTGTTCTCAAGATTGAAGACACTGCTAAAAGGCTGCCATTTTGACAGCCGCGAGGACATCATACAGAACGCGACGGCACAGCTGCACACCATTCCAAAAGAAGCCTTCCAGAATTGCTTCCAATGATGGAAGGATCGCTGGGCTAAGTGTGTGGAGTCATAAGGGGCCTACTTTGAAGGCGATTAGGTATTGTAACCACCCAGATACAGAACTTTTTTTTCCTGGCCCGAGGTTGGATACTTTTTGGACATAGTATATAGTATAGTGTGTGTGTATATATATATAAGAAACTAATGAATGCAAACTAAAATACAAAGCTATAATTACTGAGATGCTCCAAGATCAAATTTGTGATTCCTATCAAGATACTCAACAGAATAAAAAGAGTTTTCTATATGAAACTATCTTCATTTATGTAAGTTTTGAGGTTTTCACGGCGATGACTATGAAGAAAGTCGTCTTCTGGGTTTAGCCGCCGTGTATTCTTCGTTTTGGCCGACGTTCCTCCGAAATGTCGGCCAAAACGAAGAATACACGGCGCCTAAACCCAGAAGACGACTTTCTTCATATCTCCATTTATGTTAAAATTTATTAATGTCATGTCCTATGTATTAACCAATGTGAAGTTATGCGAAAAGAGATTCATTACCTTATAACATTCCTTATCTGCTCTTCAGATGAGTATCTTCTTTGTGTGTATTGTATGAGAGAACTGAATTGTAGTACCTTAACTACTGAAGATAAGTGCAGTTTTGTGGTAACAAAGTAGATAATAATTTATTCCCATCTTAATGCCCACATTACAAATGCACAGCCAATTTATTAACTGCCAATGCGCTTATTTCAATTAAAAATAATCTCAACTTCATCAGTATCACATATACAAAAATTGTCACAACTGAACCTCTTCACTGGATGATACAAATTAAATAATGCATATTTAGTTCATAACTTAGAAAACTGGTGACAGAGTAAAATACCTCAAGCAATATGTGTTTCATAATTTACTTAATTATACTTTCCCAACTGCATAGATTTTATAGTACCAAATGAAGAATAACTGTGAATGCTGACCTGCAAAGGATATGGAAATGACAGTGACCTATTTTAAGGTACCACCCCAATATCTGCATGACAGGTCTGTGGGAAACCACAAAAAATTTTAGTCAAGAATTAACTCTGGGGTCTCCCATAACCACAACATTCAGTACCAAACATCTAAAAGTTTGTGATAATGTCACATTAATACAATTATTGTGTTTCTGGGCTTTATCCATTATCACTTAAAATGCAAAACATTTTGAAGACTGGGTTCAGTCTCCATTTCCAGGCAGAACCTACTCAGCTGAGCCCAATCAATAGAGCTAGTCTGTATCTCCATACACCAGCACCAACACAACATGCATATGAAGGAGGCTACAAAATATGTTGGAAACAAGCAGATTGAACCAAACACCACATACAGAAAATACAAGGAATTCGCCCACATGTCTCTGGTAGATCATCCGAATAGACACCTCAGCTTGCACATCTCGCCCATCTGGACTCCCACTATCACAGCAGAAGTCAGAAAACTAAACCTTCATCGAAAATAGATTATGTGTGAAAACTTAGGTTTTTATGTTGATACTATACAGAAAATTTGTCTCTTTAGTGATGACTTCTATTCAGATAGTGCTCTGATCTTAACAATAGCCATGAAATAGTGCAGAGATAGGGACTAGCTCTATCAATTGGGTACAACTGAGACTGAACCCCATCTGTAAAACACTGTGTGTTAACTAAAAATATGGCAATGCATAATGTCCAGAAACACAAAAAACTGTATTTTTATTAATAATTTATTGTAATAAAATTCTATACCAGTTATACCACGACATTAATGACTATAAAATCGTCAATAGACACAATTTTCACTGATCACAGAATGCCCATGCTGCCTTTCCATATCTTTTTGAACTTGTTTTATTCTTTCTGGAGTCAGAAAAAATTCTATTCTAACCATTGCTGATAATATAATTATTCATCATACTGTGGTCTTATACAGTAAAACCTGCCTTAAACGGACCCTTTATTAAATTTTTTTTTTTTTTTTTAA